GAACTAGTGGTGGGCACTGCTGTCAAGCTGCTGCCATGGCAACAGCCACATCACCAGGAAGCTCAGCCTCTGTTCCAGAGAGCTGCAAACACCAAGGTCTGGGTAACCAGATGCCCCAGGAGGCAAAGGGATCAGGCGAGAGTGGGGTTCCCCGATTCCTGACTGTGGCCTGCGTGTCCTTATTAGGACCAACTGTAAAGAAACCCTCATGCTGGTAACTACTGATGACTCCGTCCCAGTGGTCCTACTACCCAGCCCAGCCCCAGCACCTCCCACTGCCCTGAGCAGACAGGCTCTAGGACGCCCCTGAAGATTTTCCAGCTAGCGTACAGAAACATGGCTCCTTCACGATCACCTGGGAGTGGCCTTTATTTTATTTTATTTTATTTTATTTTATTTAGTTGGGGTCTTGCACTGTTGCCCAGGCTGGAGTGCAGAGGCAGGGTCACAGCTCGCTGCAGCCTTGAACTCCTGGGTTCAAGCAATCCTCCCATCTCAGCCAGCCTCCCCAGTAGCTAGAACTATAGGCACACCATCATGCACGGCTAATTTTTGTATTATTTGTAGAGACGGGGTTTTGCCATGTTGCCCAGGCTGGTCTCAGACTTCTGGGCTCAAGAGATCCACTTGCCTCAACCTCCCCAAATGCTGGAAATACAGGTTTGAGCAACATGTCAGGGTGGAATTTGCTTTTTAAATGCAGATTCCCAGGCACCATTTGTACTGATCCTGGTTTGTGAGATCTAGAGCAGCCAATGAGAACCTGAGAGTCACGGCTCTGAGGTGCGGTGAGTGAGAGTGAGCCTCATTAGAGAGGCGATCCAGAGAAGCAGGCTTGCTGGATGAAGCCAGGGCGCAGCCTGAGAACAGGGCCAGGGAGTAAGGCAGCACTCACTTGGGAGTTGAGATGTAGAACAGTCTCATCTCTGCTCAGAGACCATGAGAACCACAGTGTACACCTCCCCTGTTGTTTTCTTGATTCTCCATTTGATTCTGAAGTGGGGGCTGAAATAAAGGGGAAGCCCGAGTCTCTCCATCAGGAAAGGAAAATAATAATAGTAATGATAATGGCCAGCATTTATCCGTGTTTATTATGTGGCAGACCCTGTGTCTAGTGCCCTACGCAGATTATGACATTTGATGATTTTGACAAGTCTGTTAGGAAAATCTTGTAATCATGCTCGTGTGTGCAATGAGGACACTAAAACCTCAAAGGTTAAGAGTCCTGCAGTCTCTGCTGCAGGTCATGAGGAGCGGAATGGGGCTGGGACTCAGGTGTCCTGGCTGCAGGTGATGAGTCTACAGCCTCCTCCAGGTGGTGACCAGGGCCATCTCTCTCAGCCCTGCTGGGAGGTAGTGAAGGGGAGGTAACGTCTTACCTCTCCACTCTTAGGGGCTTTCAGCTGGGCCTGAGAATTAAACTACGTAAGACAAACAGGAGAGAAGCACACTAATTCAGTACCAGGTTCACATGACGCAAGAGCCTCATAAGGAGTGGAAACCCAAAGAAACAGCAAAACGTGAGTGCTTTTATACTGGGCTGAACAGAGAGGCAATTGTAGAAAAGTAAGCAAACCATGTGGGGGGCTAAGGGAAGACAAGGGTGATTCTGACACAATCTGTTTGTACAGAATTCTCTTGGTCTCAATGTCCCGTCCTTGATGATAACAATGGTGCCTTCCTCTGGTAGAGGGAGGACATCCTCTACATGAGGCTTTGATTTCCCACTTTCAAGAAGGAGAAAAAGAGGGTCAGGGCACCCGTCTTCCATCTGTTATTTTTTATGTGCCTTTAGCTCAAAATAACCCTTATGCCATAACTGCATAGTTTGGGGCGACATATTCTGCCACCCTTCAGTAGGAAGCCTGGGTGGCAGGTGCCTCCCTGGGGACTGCTCCATTTCTTTGTGTCACCGACCACCTGGATTATATATGTGGCCAGGTGGCACCATCTGCCTCAAGCTTGCAGCACAGGGCAGGATTTTCCGGGATGCCGATCACTTCTTATCATCCTGGTAACAAGCTCCAAGGTCAGAAATAGAGAATGGGATTCATCAACCCCTGACTGTCTATCCTTTGCCAGCAAGAAATTTCTTCCTTGAACCCCACTCTGAGAATTAAAACAGATGTGGCTAGATTAACTGAAATTCTCTCTAACTCGCCACACCTGCCAGCAGCACTGTGTCACCTGTGACCAGCTGGACCCCAGAGCAAAAGAAAAATGCAAAGCACCTTGTTCAAAAGGCAGGAAAAAAGCACCGTACAAGGGACTAAAATAGCAAAAGCTTTTTCCTTTCTTCTGAAGCCTCCTTTTGGCCTTTTTATTAGCTATTTAATGTCATTTTAAGTAGGGAGAAATCAAAATGTTTATTAGTATATATCTTACCATTCATCTTCATATCATATATGTTCATTTTAAAGGCAACTGTGAGAGCATTTAACTCATATGTTGAGTCACTGAAATGACGCAACTTGTGTTTCATAGTTCTCGTACGTATTCTGCTTTTACCAGAACATTGGAAACATTGCACAAAACTAACAGCTCTTCATTTCGCTTCTTGATACGGGCGCATTCTACCCATATTCTCCACCTTCTGCTCATGGATGGGTGAAGAAGGTCTGAGAGGAAAAGATATACTAATTTAGGGGTCAGAAATGGGCTGGTGGGTTCCTTGGTGGTTCCTGTTTCTTAGAACATCATTGCTTTCTGTCTGCATCTGAAGCAAGTTCTGGTTCAAATGGGAGTATATCTTCTCAGGACTGTCAGCCCCCTGCTTACTCAGTTGAAGACACAACACGCTTTTCTTGTATTGGCTCTGAGTCTCGTAAAGTTAAATGTGAATATTGGCGGTGAAGAGCAGCCCACACAAGCATTTCACAGACCCCTCTGTTCACACGTATGCCTCACTGTCCTGTCCAGCTTCACTTACAATACACAATTTTGAGAGAAATTTATTTAGAATTTCAAGATGACAACAGAACAGCGTCAAACCAGATGCTGGGTCTACCCAAGCATGGGGTAGTTAAGTTTCACGCCTGTGAAGCTGGCTCTGGTGACAGCATTATAGCCAGCTCAGGGGTGGTTTGAGGGGAGGAGTGGAAATTGGGGCAAATCACTGTGCATGCCTGTCTCCATCAACATTTCCTGGAGGTGAAGGTCAAGATGGTCATGGAGGGCAACTCCTGGAGTCTCTTTGAGAGAGGGGCAGCACCCAGCCCTGTGCACCCTGCCCACTGTGGGTAGCAAGATCAGAGCTGGCATCTGGTAGTGTGCACGTGAGGCTCCCAGCTGGAGGCACTTGCAGCCTTAGATCTCTTCTCCTCTAGAGAAGACAATTTCCCGGATAAATCCCAGATCTTTGACAATTCAAAACTGCAAAGGACCTTGCAGATTAAGCCAGGTACAGAGGGCTCTGTATAAATATAGAAACCCCAACTCAAGCTGGCTTAAGTAGCAAAGGGCATTTATTGGCTCCTATAAATGGCAAGTCCAGAAGTAGTTTCGCATCAAGGGTGGTGGGATTCCATGGGTGACGAATGTCACTGAGGACCCAGTTTCTTCTTACCTTTCCTCTGGCCTCCCAGGACATTGGCCTCATTCATAGGCTGCCTTCCCCTCATGGTGACAAGAAGGCTGCCAGCTACCCCCAGAGTGAGTCAATTCCTCACCAGTGGCTAGGGAGGGAGAAACCTTGTTTCTGGAAGTTATGTCAGAAGAGTGAGAAAGCACTTTCCTGACTCTCAGTAAATCTCCCAGTATAAGTCATGAGCCCATCCACTAATAACATATCCAGTGAGTGGGAGTCTGCGGGTTAATTGAGGGTGAAACTTCATGCCCTTTTCCAAGGCCAGGGTGGGGTCAGCTTTTGCCAGGGTACATAAACGGCACAGGAGAATGGGGAGGTCGGGAGGTGGGGGTACCCAAAAATAATTGAGATGATGACCTAGAGCGGAAGGAGTAGACACTGCAGGGGCTACCATGACATTCGCTCAGAGATCCTCTCTCTGCTCAGGATGACAACAGGACTCGGCAGAAAACCCAGACGTGATGCTGTCAAGAGTTTGAAAGAGGGAACTAGGGGGTAGACCTACCCAAGAGGCATTCAAATTAATACTTTCAAGAAACATGCTGGTCACGTAAAACCTATATCTGCAGTCTATTTAACAGATGAGGAAACCAAGAAGCAAAGCAGGAAAGTAATTGCTTAATTATCAAAGTTGCCATACACTGAGTCCTCATGCATACATCTGCCACCACATTTTACAGAAGAGGAAAACAGGGCTTCAGGATGGTCAAACATTTGCCCAAAGCCACATGGCCAGTGAGTGACAGTGCCAGGATTTGGACCCAAGGCTGTGTAGCCCCCATTCCTCTGTTCTTTCCGAATGTCTAAAAGTTGAATTGGTGGCATGAGCAGAAAGAAGAACCCCAAGCCAGTTCAAAGCTCTATTATACTGTGTGTCAGCAGGAAGTTTTAGGAGGCCACCTAATGTCATGGACTGTGGAATATATAACCAAATGAATGGAAAGGGAAAACGATTTTGTGAAGCAAAGACTTTAAGTGATAAAGTGAGTTGTCAGTGAATTTTAACCAGGGAAGAGAAGAACCATCTGCCCTGGGTACAGGCACCCAGGAAGCACAGGGTGGATCCTGCCTGGCTGCGTGAATGCCGGCAGCTTCTGGTGTCCTGGCACGGGCACAGGGGCAGTCTATAAACTCCTTTTCTATAAGCTGTCAGACTTGGAGAGGGCCTGCAGAAAATCTGGGCCTTGGCATTGGCAGAGTGATGACGAGAGATGTTGAGCTCACTGAGAAATGTGAGTCTTGGCTTGCATCCACCGTGTGGAAGCCCCAGGTGAGCTGCGACCTTCTCCCGTCTGCTGACTTGCCACTGGAGAGAAGGTCAGGTTTCACAGGATGCTTAAGAAACTGCAGTGAAGAGGAAATGCCAGGGTCTGTATGTTTCTAATCCAGTGCCTGCCCCTTCTTCTCCTTGCAGCCTGCTTCGTTTTTGTGCTCTGCACTTTCCTCGCTCTGCCGCTGTCCATGGCCTTCATAGGTAAGCTGCCTGCCGAGCTACTGGATGCCACAGGTCAGACAGGTTGGGGCGTGGGCACACAGCATGTGATCTTTAAACATTAAATATGTGTTTAAGAACTGGCCAGACCGATGATTCCCAGACACCTATGTGCCATCTCAGAATGACTTGGGGAACATTTAAAAATACGCCTTCCTGGGGCTCATCCTGGGAGATATCGATGCAGTGTATCTGGGTAGGGACAGACTCCTGCTTTTAGAAATCTGTCCCCAGATGCTTCTGATCCCTCTAGCCAAGTTCGGAAGTGACTGGACTAGAGGTTTCCCAGAGTCCCTTTCCAGTTTCTGTGTTCCCTTGTGGAAGCAGGTTGCGAGCAATACAAAAAGTGCAGCTGGCGCTAGATGACGTGTGGGCACTCTATACATGTTTTTTGCTGAATGAATGAATAAATATTTCCATAAATCATGCATACTAAACCTCATAATCACAGAAGTGTGATATGTTGCAGAAGTGGGGAGAGGGGCAGGATAGGGGAAGCTCCTTGAGTAGCTAAAAGTTGTTATCACATGTCAGTGAAATTAATCTTATGCTTCTGAACATTGCTAATGGGAGCCCCTGAGCCCCGTGTACAAAATGTAGCTACCCTTATTTACCTAGAAGCCTCACATGGCCTGGAAGAGGGGCTCATGCCTGTAATCCCAGCATTTAGTGGGGCTGAGGCGGGCCGATCACTTGAGCCTGGGAGTTTGAGACTAGCCTGGGCAACATAGTGAGACCTTGTCCCTACCAAAAAATGCAAGTCTTGACTTAAAAATTAGCTGGGCGTGGTAGCGTACACCTGTAATCCCAGCTACTCCAGAGACTGAGGTGAGATGATCGTGCCACTGTACTTCCGGCCTGGGTATCAAGAGTGAGACACTGTCGTCCCCCCAACTCCCCTCCAAAAAAGAAGCTCAGCAGGCCCAGAGTTCTAGGTCCAAGCTCACAGCATATTGAAGCATAAAGTAAAAGGGCATAGGAATTATTGCCAAACAACGAAACACCCGGTACCCTAATTGCTTAATGGGTAGGAGGCTTCCTTCTAAGGTGATGAAAATGTTTTTGAACTGGATAGAAGTGGTAGTGCACAACACTGTGAATCCACTAAATGCCACTGAATTATTCACTTTAAAATGGTTTATTTTGTTATGTGAGTTTCACCCTAGGACCCCTGCCAAAAGCCACAATACTAAAAATGAAAGAAAAACCGTATCCTTAGATCTATAAGACATGAAAGCTGACAGCCTGACAAGAAATAAAGAAGATTTTAAGGTTTGCAGAGAACTAAAACAGCCGAGTAGTCTGGGGCCATTTAGTGTCAGAGTGAACAATGCAATCACTTCAGCAGGCCCTGGTGCTGTGATGCTTATAGTGCAATTCAAAAATTAACATTTCTCATGTGGCTCTGTTCTTCCAAGAAGAGTTCACAAGATGTTAGGCATACTCTGCTTAGGAAGTTGGGCGTACCCTCCAGAGGGCGTTCTATGCAAATCTGTGAGGTAAGAGAATCCCAGCCTTTGGACTATGTGGTTAGTTATCTTTTCTTTTCTTTAGAGACAGGGTCTCCTGTCACCCAGGCTGGAGTGTGGTGGAGTAATCTTGACTCACCGAAACCTCTGCCTTTTAGGCTTAAGCAATTCTCATGCTTCAACCTCCCTAGTAGCTGGGATTACAGGCGCCCACCTCCACGCTTGGCTAATTTATGTAATTTTAGTAGAGACAGGGTTTCACCATGTTGGCCAGGCTGTTCTTCAACTCCTGCCCTCAAGTGATCTGCCCACCTTGGCCTCCCAAAGTGCTGGGATTACAGGCATGAACCACTGTGCCCGGCCAGTTATCTTTCAAATGAACTTAACTGCAACAATTCATCCACCAATAAGGCTGCATAAAAGTGACAAGACCCTACAAGCCAGTTCCCATGGATATTAGATTAAAATCACCACATCCACTACAGAAAGGGGGGTTTGGAGTGTTAATGTTTATAGAGCAATATTGGATATAGAGTTTGTGTTTGGGTGATGGAAACATTTTGGAAATAGATAGTGGTGATAGTTGCATAAGATGATGCATGTAATTATGCTGAATTGTACACTTAAAATGGTTAAAATGGCAACTTTTGTTGAGATGTTTTATCACAATAACAAATATTTTAAAAATCACTAATCTGGTCATTGTTATCTGAACTGGGGAGAGCTCTAAAGGCAAAGGGAGTAATCGTGATACGGCAGGTCAGACAATGAGGTAAAGTAGGTCCTAAGCAGTACGTGAGAACGCAGGGGGAAAGACGGCTTTTATTAAATTTATTAGGATTGTTTTAAGCCATCTGTGCACTGATGACTCTCCTGTGAACAGCAGCTGTTTTTATTCATTGGGAATGAGCAGATACCGAAGCCATTACTCAATGTTCATTTCACAGCTGGCCTGTGAATTGAAAGGCAGTCCATGTCCAACAAATTTGGCATCAAGTACTTAAAGGTGTTTGTGTGAAAAGGCTGTGTTGAGACTTGGAAAGTATTTTCATTTAATAACGCATTCGGCTAAACATCAGAGATAACTAAAAGACAAGCCTGGCTGATGATTGGATCAACGTGTGTATTTGACTAAGTTCTGTTCTGGGCCTGAATTTATGGCTCTCTGTATACCTAGAAAATTTTGTTCATGTCAGTGGAATACGGTATAGTCATAGGAAAACGGCTTATTCCCTCTGCTTAAGTATCAAGGCACTTATGGGAAATAAAATGTCAAATCAAAGCTAGAAGTCGAAATGTCATGGAAACAGGAGGCTTTGGTTCTACAGGAAGAATTCTTTTCCTTGGGCTCCGTTGACAGATGTCTTAGTCAGGGTAACTTAACTGTACTATAGTCACAAATTTACCCTGGAATCACAGTGGCTTGACACTCTAGGGGCTTATTTCTTGCTTATGCAAATTCCATCATGGGTCAGGGGGCACGGGGACTTCCCAGGCAGTGTAATGACATAATACTCCAAGCTGCTTCAATCTTGAGAACTAGCCATCGCCACCCATGACTTCCAGGTAGTCAAAGTAGAGAAAGCAAACAACAAATCATGTATCAGTTTTTAAATACTTTGGCCAAGGCTGGGCACAGTGGCTCATGCCTGTAATCCCACACTTTGGGAGGCCCAGGCAGGAAGATCACTTGAGCCCAGGAGTTTGAGACCAACCTGGGCAACATAGTGAGTCCCCCTTCTCTATAAGAAAAAAAAGAATTAGCTGTGCATAGTGGCACATTCCTGTGATCCCAGATACTCAGGAGGCTGAGGTGGGAGGATGGCTTGAGACTGGGAGGTTGAGGCTGCAGTGAGTTATGACTGAATCATGCCACTGCACTCCAGCCTGCGTAACACAGCGAGACTCTATCTCAAAAATAATAAATAAATAAATGCTTTGGCCCCAAAGTGTCCCACGGCCCACTGGTCAGAATTGGTCAGACTGTCTTGCTACCCAGGAAGGGAGGTGGGCAATGTGGGAGGCACATACTGGGCAGTCAGTGTCTCCCACAGCAAAGGTGTGTGTTAGAATCCATCTGGAGCCTGGTCGTTTGAGCCAGACTAGTCCCTGAGGGAAATGGGCATTTCTTCTTTATGTTTTAAATAGACACATCATATCATCAGTTAATAATAGGTCTAGAGAACAAAGACCTGAGAAAAGTAGACAGAGCATTGCCTTGGGGAGGAAAATTACCATTAAGAAAAGGTAGGCATCTGAGCGGGCTGGCTTGTTAGTACTCTGCATCTGGTTGCTAGGCATATGTGAGTTCACGTGTGTTTCCCAGCGTGGGGTCCAGCCAGTGACATGGTCAATGGTGATCATAGGGTGACTGTGACTAACACAGCAGAGGGCTCGATGAACAAGGAGGAAGAGCAGCTCCTCCCTGCCACCTGCCACCTGGCCCCTGGAAGCAGAGTAGATGAGAACCTCATTCACACAGAGTCACATTTTGGAAACGTGACTCCTAAATTGAATCTTATTTTAAGCATATCAAGGAAACTGTATATTGAATCCTGAATTCTTGAAATTTGCTTATGCAAATTCCATCATGGGTCAGGGGGCACGGGGACTTCCCAGGCAGTGTAATGACATAATACTCCAAGCTGCTTCAATCTTGAGAACTAGCCATCGCCACCCATGGCTTCCAGGTGGTCAAAGTAGAGAAAGCAAACAACAAATCATGTATCAGTGAGTTCGCATACACTGGCTTTTCAGATGAGCAGAGTGTGACCCATAGCCAGTTAATACCCAGAAAAAGGTGCAGTGACACCTGGTCCATGCCCTGTCTGCAGGGGGATTTATCACTACTCCGCTGTGAGAGCCAGTTCTGTGGCGTCAATCCACTGAGCGCCCTGAGGATCAGGTGACTGGTGAGGCTGTGCAGACCCTACGAGCATAAGGTTTGCATGATGAACATTTTGTTCCACTCATTCAAAACTGGGCTTTGTGCTGTTGAATGTCTTTCTCTCAATCCTCCTCTGTTTGCCCTATGTAGGAATGAAGTTTTTGGAGGACTGCCCCATATAGCCCCTCATTCCTTTATATTTGCTAGTGGGTGGCATCGTCAGTACCTTAAAGGTAAAGTGTCTTTGTTTGTTGTTCGTAGTCCTTGTAGAAATTTAACTCACAGCATCCTAGAATGCACCTGTTACTTGCTTGCTACTCACAGGGGAGCCAGAGTCACTTCCCTCAAAGCCTGTTGCTGAAGTGATGGGGCTGGCTCCAGAGACAGATTTTTCCAGATGCAGCGCGTTTACCCAGGGCCGTGCCTCTTTGCAAGAGCTTCCTTCCTGCTGTTGAGTTCAATGTACTAAGCTGTGGCTTAGGTCTGACAAGAGCTGATGCAGAGGAGTCCCTGACTGACAGTTATACCACTGAATTCAGCCAATAAAATCATGGCCTTTCTTTGTACTGTTACTGCTTTTGTGTGCGTGTGGCGGGGGGAAGCTTCTTGTTGAGGGCAGCATTTGT